GAATCATCATCGGAGAATTGTGATTAAGACTCTTGGTAGCGGCCCAATCGGCGAGTTCGATCGATCCGGGAATATATCTGCGCGGAGGAAACCCGACCGAAGCCCGGCGACCGATGAACGCGCGCGGTGAGCGCGCGCCGAGCGAATAGCTGAAAAGTCTCGAGAGATCTCAATTACGATGATCGCAATGAAATATCGCGAGCGAAGATTTTTGCGCGGCGGCGCGCATCTCGAGCCGCGCCGCCGCCGCCGCCTTTCGATGAGCGCGAGATAAATTTGGGTTCTTGCTTGGGGCGCGTTGCGCGCTTCGTCCGCGGCTGGGCCGGACGTGGTATCCGTTTGATAGCAGATAGCAGACCGAACGATGCTGGTATGTTCTCATTACGCGTCGTGTAGGTATGCGGCGGCCGGTCCCGTGTTCTTCCCTTCGTATATGTACTTCTTCTTCTTCTTCTTCTTCTTCTTGTTCTTCTGAGAGACCTGCGCGCGTTGCGTCTCGTTTCTTTTTGTGCGTTCGTCGCGCTCGCGCTCTTGGGAACCTCCCGATGTCTTTCTCTCTTTCTCCTCTTCTCTCCTCGGCTTTCTCCTCTCTTCGTCGTCAGGCCGCGTCCGTGATGCGAGAAGAGAAACTTCTTTCTGGTGCAACGTGAAGTTTCGCACGCGAGAGAGAGAGAGAGAGAGAAAGAGAGAGAGAGAGACGCGAGTCTCTCCGAAGAGGAAACCGAAAGATACTTGAAAGACGTGAACAATTATCCTAGAAACTCTTTCAACACCTCGTGTTACTCTTCCTCCTCCCCGCGCTTCATCCCCCTCGAGATTCCACGGTGATTCGACGGATTCGGTGGAATCTTCACTTGAGAAACGCTCGCCGTCTCTCTCTCTCTCTCTCTCTTTTGATATCGCTCTTGCACCTCTCTCGTTCCGTCTCCCGGCGCGATGGTGATCTCGATGACGATGCTGTGGGCATCGCGCTGGAACTTACGACTGGAACCTGGTGGTGGTGCGACGGTGTGGTAGTGGTGGATATAAGATTGTGAGTATCTCTCTGATATATACGTACAACGTTGGAATGAATCGGCGAGGTAAGAGGAGAGGGAACTAGTTCAGTGAACAAAACGACGTGAGAGGCAGTTGCAATGCTGTAACACAACGCGCGCTTCGGCGCGCTGTATACTCCGCGCATAAGCGCGCCAATATGAGGGCTTTAACTCAGATATTCCGTATTATAAGCGCGCGCGGCGGCGGTCGTGCGGCGCGCGTATAAAGAGAGTCCTTTTAATTTTATGTGTTAGGCTCTTTCCTCTCTTTCTCTCTCTTTCTAACTATTGGGGATACACATCCCTCCGAGCGAAGTTTAACGGGCTGCGGTGAAAGAACTCTCTCGCGCGCGCGCACGCGACACATACGCGCGCTGAATATCTCGCGAGATCTTTACACACACGATCGTATTTAGAAATCAAGTACATACCCACGTTGGTGCGCTCTCTGAAATTACGACACGTAAAAAAATACGACACTAGCGTATGTTGCAAAAATATTATTTCGAGTTGAATTAATTTTTGTTTTTTTTTTTAATTAAATGTAACATTGGTTTTTTACAGTTGTATTTTTTATATCGTATTTTGTCGCATGTTATTTAAAAAATATTGGATTTATTATTACACACACACACACACGCGCGCGCGAGGTAGACTCGCGCGCACGCACGAGAGTTTGCCTTCATTACGGAATTTATAGAGAGACCTCCGGTGGCCTTTGAATAGCATTTAATAGATTCACAATGTACACGTGTAAGCAACATTCCGCACGTAATGGAATTAACAGAATTAAGAGAATTCGTTCGTAGAAAAACGTCGACGCGGTGTGTTCGCGTTGGAGATGTTGTTGGAATTCGAAATTATCGCAAGAAACTTCTACACGAGTTACGTAAATATAAATCAAAGAGATTTTGTCGCGAAATCTCTGAGTTACGTGTCACATCGATTGAGCGGGAACTCAATACGAGCTCTATATATCCGTCCGTTACGTATCGTCGCAAAAGTCTGATAAAGGCTGATAAAGGCTCCGTATAAATAAAGCGTCGCTCATTCGAGCGTGTGATTTTTTTCTCACGCCACATCAGAGAGACCAGGTTTGGCCTTGTGCTCGGGCACACGTCGACCTTTTAGGAAAAGAAAATGACGGACGTCACATACGCGCGCGTATTATACCGTTAAGATATATACCGCGCCGACCGATTCGTCAACGTTCCTCCGTCTCTTTTGTCCTCTTTCAGATTTAAACGCGAGCGGGTAAAGCGAAAACGAATTCACCAAATGAATCGTTTGAACTCAACGAAAGGCGGCTCGGCTTTCTAGCGACGTCAAACCGCCGCGCGTCTTTCAAGATTCGGCGTGTGTGTGTGTGTGTGCGTGCGCGCGAACGTGAAGCAGCAGCAGCAGCAGCAGCAGCAGCAGCAGCAGCAGCGTGTTTGAAAAGCTGCCGAGCGTAGAGATGCGTGCTATCAATTTCCATACGCTGCCGCGTGCTCGTTTTACAGAAGGCGAGGTGACGCCGGTGAATTTTACGACGCCGCGCTTTGATAGCGTAACATGCTTTCTCGAACAGTCTCTTCTCTTTCTCAAATAGTTTCTCCTTGGACTCGATCTTGTTCAACGCTTTATTCTTATAAAAAAAAACAAACGAATTTTATTGTCGTATATATATTAAAATTTATCTCATTGCGCTATTTTTGTATAGATGAACACTCGGAACTTTCAGGAAGTTTTCCTTCATCAGAGTCTGTCGATGATGAGTGACGTGTGTTAAGTCTCGTGTCACCTCTGATGAGTGAGGTGTTATTTATTCTCGGCGTGTATACAGAGTAGTCGGAGAGATACAAGAAAACAGTTTTAGCCGATTGCTCCTTTGATCCGGAGCCAGCTGACGGCCGGCATTACTCGAGAAATTCGATCTGCTATCCATGCCGCGGGATCGATGGATCAAAGATCGCCCTTTGACTTCGCTCGTCCCGAGCTTTCGCGCCTCTTCATCAAGAAATTAACATTTAACATTTCCTAACCCCTTCCCCTTCGCACGTAAAACCTCGATAAGACAATCAACTCTTAAAATACAAAAAAAATGAGAGAATTAAAACATCCGATAACGCGGAAAATCTGAAGCAAAGATTGAAACAACTTGTTTTGCTCGGCAAGAAACGATACAGCGAACTAAATAGACGCCGTTTTCTTCTCCGCGGCGTCGATCGTTTACAGTCGAGTACATAAAAAATCGCCGTTTCAAATAAGCGGGAGAAAAAAAGGCCGTCGATCGGCGGCAAGAAACTCGACGCTCGTCTCTATCGCGGATCGTCCGTAACGCGACGGCTCATCCGCGACGAACAATCGCGCCGTTTATTCTATCCAACTGGAGCAAATTCCGGAATCCGTGAACTAGAACCGCGCTCGTTCCAGCGAGACGTACGTAAGGTTGAATCGATTTGCCGGTGTAAAACCGGCTGGGCGTCGGCGGTTGCTGCCAGTAGAAAGAGACGGGACGAAAAAAAGAAGGAAACGCCGAAGGACAGTGGGAACCGCGGGGAGTGCAGCCTGAGCGCTACGCCGCTGCTGAGACGACGGGGGTGCGGAAGGGACGAAGGAGACCCCCCTCGTAAGTGGAAGCGGGACCGCGCGACGAGACGAGACGGAGAGAAAGAGAGAAAGAGAGAGAGACGACGAGCGAGCAACAGGAGCGAGGGAAAGAGATCGAGAAGGACAGGGTGAGAGAGAAGGAGAGAGAGGAACGAGGACCGAGACTCGATCTCTCCGGACTGCCTCTGGCGGGGTGCACGCTCCCCTTTCTGCCCGCCAACGACCGATCTCCTTCGTCAGTGCCGGCGTGGCGCGGACTTCTTACAGGTGCGTTTACAACCTGCCTCACGGTTTTTTTCCGTCCGCTTCGACGTGCTGCCGCGACGAGACTTATCGTTCGCGTGTGTCGCGCGTCTCTTTTCGGTACCTGTCACACGAAAGGAATTTGAAAACCAGATTACTTTTTTTTTAAAAATAGACCTTTATCGGTGACACAAACACGGCGCCGATAACTTCGGAATTTTTATCAGGCGATACGTGAGTGCGTGTCCGATGGGACAAACTACAGGAACTCGCATAGAAGCTACAGAAGTTCGTTCGGGAGCGTATCTCGAGCGCGAATCTACGTCGTTCACGTCGTCAGGTGTAGCCCGAACATTGTACGTATACAAGACAAGAAAATTCCACGGTAGCGGCCAGGATCTCAGGTAAAAGAGGGACAGAGAGAGAAAGAGAAAGAGAAAGAGCGAGAGAGAGAGAGAGAGAGATTCAGAGGGAGGGTGCCCGAGTTCACGTTTACGCACCTGCTCCTCATACCACGTCTAAACCTCTTGCGTGATACAACCTGCGTGGCTCGCTCTCATAGTAGATAGAAAGACACCTCCGATACGTCCCGCGCGTCTCCGCGTCACTCCACCCTCGCCGCTTGCTCTCTCTCGCGCCTACCTGTCGATCTCGCTTTGATAACCGCGAGCCGGCCGGAACCCGCCTTTGTCGCACCAACATCAAGCGCTAGAGCGAGTCCGTACACCTAAAACCGCAGCATCCAGCAGCAGCGCTACTAGCGGCAACCAGACGGAAAGACTTCCAGGCGAGTCCAGCCTGGCGTGCACAAGGTGTGCGCTGGTGTGTTTCGTGCGTGTCGGGTGCTTTACCTGTGTAGGTGCGCGCCTGGGGAAGCCTACCTGAGTCGACACGCCAGCACGCCAGCTCGCTGCCCGCGCACTCTTTTTCGGCTTCGGTTAAAGCTACAAAGTTTGTGTTGCGATTTTGTTTTTCTTCTCAAGAATCTTCGGAAAATTCGTTTCTGGGAAAAAACGGTCTTGGAGGAAGAAAGAGAGAGGGAGAGAGAAGAGCGCGCGGCAACGCGCTCTTCCTTCACGGTTCACCGGCCGAGATCGAAGCAGATCGGAAGTGAAGGAAATCGTTGCTAGCCAAGGTGCTTCGCGTTGCTCCGATAGTTGCCGATAGGTGCTGTGCATGTGTGTGTGTGCGTGTGTGTGTGTATATATATATTTTTTTTTTTTTTACATTTACGCGCGAGAGTATCGAGACAAGAGTGATCACGTGAAGAATTGTTCTTCTGAGGCGAGATCGGTCCTTATCGTGGAAGTGGCTGTGTGTCTTTCGGAGATATACAACGGATGCTTTCGCCGTCGATCTCTGGATCATCGATATACGGGATCGGAGGAGATGCGTTTAGCCGTGGGAAAATTGACGAAGGAAATAACATTGTGAAGTTACTCGCCGTTGGCGTTCCTCCAGGTGAGCGAGACTCGTCGCGCTAAGAGTGTCTCCGCCTCGTCGGGTTTCCTACGGACATTCGCGATTCCAAAATGGCTGCTGCGGCTAGCCATGACCGCTGGGTCCGCGGAAGCCATGTTGGCAGGTGTGCTCGGGCTCTCGAGAGATAACCCGTTCACGTTCGTGAAACGCATGCGGCACCGATACGCCGTGCGGTAGACCGGAATGAGCGCGTTACGATTGAATTATCATTTAAATTGCCGCTCGTCTCTCCCCGGCCATCGAAAAGCGCACCTGTGGAACGATGCACGCGCGATTTCGCACGTAAAAGCGGCTTGCACACGCGTGAGATGCGATTAATAGAAAAAAAAAAAAAAAAAAAAAAGGATCTCGAACACCGTTCGCATTTATTTTCCGCACGATTGCGAAAGTTTTCGTGCGGTGAGCTGAAACAGTGCAGTGGTTCTCTTGAGTTCTGTTGGTTCTATCAGTAAGAGATGCGCGAATGTAAACAAAAAAACAAAAAAAATAATAATAACTTTCGATCGATTATATAAAGTATTTGTCTTGACGACACGCTTGTATACAATAGACTAATAAATACACATGTCAATGACGATTTTGTAATTTTTTACGATTCTTTCTAATACAAGTTTTCGTGGGTGTACATTGAATAGATTCTCAAACGGGGGACGCACGCACATTCATCAGGAGAGATGAATAACTCGCTCCGATTCTCGTATCTGACCTGAACGGTGAAAATAGGGATTTATCTGTCCCGTGCCAATGTAAATGCTGCAGCTTATGCATCGGTTCGATCTGTTCAGGTATTCGTGTTTGATTCTTTTTGTTTATTATTATTTTAAAATTTTTCAAACTTGTGTGTTTACACTTAACAGGTTTAAATTTGTGAAATAAAACATCAAATTTGAAAAATGTTATAAAAATACAAGTTTTTGCAAAATTAAGAAAGAATGGATTATATATTGTTCAAAAATAAACAAAAAAACAAAATTATAAAAAAAAATTTAGAAATATTTATATTGTTTATAAATTTAAACAAGTTTCAAGTAGTATTTAAACGAGTTATTTACAATTTTAATTTCGGATTGTTTACAAAAATAAATTCTATTACCAATCGTATTTACTTTAGTCTTTGATTAACCTTATAAATAAACAAATTCTGTCTCTAGGTGTAACAGCGCGGTATGCCGACCGACATCGTAGTTACGTCGGCCACGGCCTCGGCCACGGTCTCAGAGGAGACGAGCAGAGGTCGGGACTTGGGCCTTGGGCCATCTCCAAGGTCAGGTCCCTCTTCTGCAGCCTCGTCGTCTTCCAGTTCTGGCGCGTCCGCCTCGAGAGGGTTCGATCCGACCGGCACTCTCAGCGCCTATCAGCATCACCGTTTGATGAGCGGTCTTAGCCATGCTCATCACCGGGAATCGTCCGCCTTCGTGCCTGTGGTGCCTTCGAGATTACATCTCCCACCTTATTCAAGCGAAATGCACGCCCATTTGGCCGTACCGCCCCCCTCGTCCTCGTCGTCGTCGAACTCGGAGCACGAGGTCGGCCCGGAGTCCTCGGTGGCCAGGAAGAGTTCTTCGAGTTACGAAATCATGGCTATGATGGACAAGAGGAAGGAACTGGCGAGAGCCTCCCTACTCAACCCCATTATTGCACCTCCTCTCCCACCTCCCGGTTATCCGGTCTTCGTCGGCTCCTTTCCGGGTGGTTCGGCTCTGTATCCGCCGGGTAGCGCATTACCCCATCAGCATTTAGATCGACGGTTACTTCGAGCACCCGGCAGAGCGTCTAGACCGAAGAAACAGTTCATCTGCAAGTTCTGCAGTCGACACTTTACAAAATCGTACAACCTTCTCATTCACGAAAGAACTCACACCGACGAGAGACCGTATTCTTGCGACATTTGCGGAAAAGCGTTTAGAAGACAGGATCATCTTAGGGATCATAGGTACGGGCACATGGGATTCTTGTCGCCAATCCCCTTTAACAAACCGACTTTTTTTTCAGAACTAGTCGCAAAGATGATTATTCTTGTGTGTTTTTTTTTTTCAGGTACATACATAGCAAAGAGAAGCCCTTCAAATGCAACGAGTGCGGCAAAGGTTTTTGTCAGAGTCGCACTCTCGCGGTCCACAAGATCCTCCACATGGAGGAGTCTCCGCACAAGTGTCCCGTCTGTTCGAGAAGCTTCAATCAGCGCAGCAATCTAAAGACGCATTTGTTGACGCACACGGACCACAAGCCCTACGAGTGCACATCATGTGGCAAGGTCTTTCGTCGAAATTGTGATCTCAGGAGACACGCGCTGACACACGCCGTGGGCGATGTTCCTCCTGAGGCGTTGGAGGAGGCTCTACGGGACGAAGACAGTCCGGAGGAGGATTGTCCCGAGGCCGGACCCTCGTCTTCCTCGACGTCGTCGTCCGCGACGTCGTCCGCCGTGCCCTCAGCCGCCTCGAGTTCGTCCGGATATCCTCCTCAGGGATCGTCAGCTCCAACCGCAGCCTCCACCGCCTCGGCGCCGCCTCTGCCCCAGAGACCTCAGCTTCAGATCAGACGAGACCTGCTGCCCGCTGTGAAATCGTCGACCGTGACCAGCGGCAGTTCCGGGGCGCATTCCGTCACCCAGAACCCACCGGCTGCGCTTCCGCCGCCACCGCCGCTCATCGTGTCTTCGTATCGGCGAAGAATCGGCTCGCCAGGTCCTTCCAGAGTGCTTCTGGAGCTTCAGGAGCGCGAACGCGAGAGAGAACGCGAGATGGAGCAGAACAGAGAGCGGGAACAACGCAACAGGGAACAACGCGACAAAGAAGTGGCCAGACTACCGCGCGCTCCAACTCCGCAGCCACCGCCGCCGCCACCGAGACCCGCTCCAGCACGTCAGGGTTTTACCATCGCCGATATAATGGGTCGATAAATAAGTTGTACGTGTGTAGATAGTGTCGTTTTGTTTTTTTTTGTGGGGGGAGGGAAACTCAATTTTCAAAATCGAGTTTTCATAGCCATTTATAAATCCATGTTTTTACTTTACGTCTCATATTATTGTAAGATTCGACTGGGCCGGAGATGTTTGTTAATTAATTCACTGATTTATTTCTTTCCTAAAACAATCAGTGGATTCAATCGAAAGTGCTTTATAGATTGTAAAGATTTTTGTGAAAAAAAAAAAAAATGAAGTCTTATAGAAGAGTAAAAAAAACTGATATTTTTTAAGAAAAAATATATGATGAAAATCTTGTATATTTTTAGACTCAAAGAATTTCGAAGAACTCTCGTAATATATAGTCACAGAGAATTTTTATAAACAAAATATGAATAAAACGAAGTTATTACTTAATTTTTTTGTAATATCGAGAAGTGGGTTCTCGAGAATGAAATAGTGATGATAAAAACGTGGCAGCAAAAATGTGCCTTAATCCGAAGTGAACTTCTTTTTCGTGCCACAGCGAGGAAAAAGAATTTCCTCGTGAGCAAAATCCATTTCGATCACAATGCGACAATAAAGAAAAGAATTCCAGAAGGTATTATCGAAGCAACGGGTCGCTCGCGAGGTAGTATTCAATTTTCGCTGCGTCATCGCGTGCATTTTTCAATATATACTTCAATTCCGCATTCGAGTGAACTTAACGATTTATTTCACTTTGTAACAACAATGGAAAGGAAACGCGCTCAGATCGAAAATTCTCTCACAAGCCACTCTCGTGGCTCGCATCACACCTCAGCAAGTTTTCGTGTTTCTCGTAAAAAAGACAAATATCCTTTCTTCCAAAGCCGGTTTCCGTAAAACCCGTAAAATTTCGATGATTTTGCGTGACAGTCAATTTTCTAATGTGCGCTTAACTAACGGTCGTCACAAAGCTACCAGAGAACGGTTCTTTGTTTTCTCATGGCGGATGGGACAATGCAAATTCGCGCGGTCGGGGGGTGCACAGCAGCGACTTAACCTGCGCCCCCCGCCTGTGGCAGGTGCAGTACAAAAACACTTTTATACCTGCCAGATCCGTGCGCAAAATACCTGCTGTCGCTACCGCATTTTCTCTCCGCTAAGATATTCCGACCCTAGACACAAATGCCATCGGGTTTTTTTTTCTCCTTCTTCCCTCGTTCCTGCTCCTGTTGCGAGAAAGAAGCTCTAACGGTTCCTTTGTGAGACTCAAAGCGTATACGTGCCGACCGACACGGGACGATTTCTTAGGTCTGCGCGTTAGCACATATTTTTTTTTTTTTTTTCAAGAGACAGAGAGAAACATTATATGAATTTTAAAGAAGTGTAATTGGAACACGCGGGGATGAGAATCTCGAAAATTTCGCATTTGCGTCTCTCTAGTTCGTCTTTTAGTGATCGAATCATTTGTTTTTATTCTTTGTTTCTTCCCCGACGGGAGAATATAATTCTCAAAAATATTATATACAAACAATGTGAAAGTCTAGTGTAAAAAACATCTTTTTACAACAAAGAAATTTTCAAACGAAGAATTGTATATGAGACTTTGTGTAATGTTTTGTATGTAACAACCGCAATATATATATATTTACAGTTTTTCCTCGATGTAGATTTTACAAATTGTTTGAAGATGTCTGATCGAGCTCGTGTGTTGAGAAATTTCACATATGCGTAATGGAACTACAAAATTATGTAACGTCATATGAAAATACGCATTTTATTCGAAGTGTAATTATATATAAGTATATGTAAAAGTATAAGTATATATAATTATATAAGAAATCGCACGTGTATAAGTGTATATAGATATACGCAATTGTATGTTGTTGTACGAACAAAAGTGATATTTTTACCTGATTTTTTTTATATGACGTTATATAGTTTTGCACAATATTAAATATACATGTACAATTTTTTAACGCGGGAGCGCACTGTTTGTGTAATATTTATCAATTAGTAAAACGCGATCATAAAGTAATTAGCAAGGATTGTTACAACGTGTCACAAATTTATATGATTATATATATATATATATTATATATATATTATATATATATATAT